GTCACCCGGTTCTTGAATTACTGTGCAGATGGCGTGTCGATCGAATATTGTCCCAATGTTTGCAGAACTCATCGACAGCACTTAGGATCCTATTGATTGGAAGAACAGAAATAACATTCGTCCGAGTAAATAAACAGACGATTCTATAGACCGAACGGCATCAAGAGTCGGATATAGAAAATAGGAAAGTGTATTTAAGAGATTGTTGGGATAATTCAAACGACGTGTTGTAGCAATGCACGTATCACAGTTATCCGCATTGAGCTTTTCCGTTACATGTTCAGTATATCACACTATTGTAAGGCCCAAAAAGAAAGGGAAAGCATAAAAAGAAGAATTCGGGATTTGTTGTACTGCTTTATTTTGTTTTCCTGGTCCATACGACACGTTCTTTTTGTAACCATTAACAAAAAATAGTAAGTAGGAATACTGTGATAGAGTTTTGTAATGTTAGTTCCTTTATGTTTAACTTACATCATAATAGTATGGCCATATACATTATATATTGTATGAATTCATTAATTGTAAATGCCATTCTGCCATATAATAGATACTTTTTTTTTCCATTCCAGAGTCGTTTGTTATACAACTTAAATACTTCTTTTATAAGTTTAAAGGAACTTATACTAGTTCCATTGGGATATTTATACAGGATTCAGCTTTAAAATCTGTTTATATAGGGTTCAAGCTTTAAACTCTTTACTGTTTCTTTTATCTTTTATATGATATAATTTAGAAACAAATAGAAATTAACATTTAAAGTCACTGATAAATTTGACATGTAACGGTACCAATACCTGTTAGATGTTCGATGAATTGTCATTTAATAAGGTGCCTAAGAGTTTCGAAAATATTTCTTAATTAAAATAAATTTTTTTTAGTTTGATAGTTCCATTGGTCTGTTTTACAGAGTTGAAGCATTTAACCCTGTTTATACAGGCTTTAAGCTTTCAAAAAAATAATAATAAAATAAAAAATATAATAATAAAAATAAAAAAACTATTGGCATATGATAAAATGAGGATTAAATAAACAGATAAAAATTAAAATATAAAATCACTTTTTGCGTGGAATGGTACCAAGCCCATTGTCTGTTTATACAGAGTTCAAGCTTTCAAGCATGTTTATACAGGATTCAAACTTTTAAATACTGTGTATACAGGGTTCAAACTTTTAAATACTGTTTATACAGGGTTGAAGCTTTAAACCATATTTATACCGGGGCTTTAAGCTCTGTTGATACAGGGTTTAATATTTAAATCCTGTTTATACAGGCTCAGAAAAAAAATATAATTACAAATAAATAAAAAAAGCTATTGGCTTAAAAGTGATGTTTAAATACACAGATAGAAATTAAAATTTAAAATCACAGATAGATTTGGCGTGGAATGGTACCAAGCCAGTTGTCTGTTTATATAAAGTTTAAGCTTTCAACCATGTTTATACCGGGTAAAAGCTTTAAACTCTGTTGATACAGGATTCAAGCTTTATAATCGGTATTGTTTATCTTATCTTATACATTATATCTTTTAGAAACAAATATAAATTAACATTTACAGTAGCTGATAAATTAGCCGTGAAATGGTACCAGTTAGATGTTCGATGAAATGTCAAAACTCATCAAGTGTCTCAAATAGTCGAAAAGCATTTCTTTTCCATATTTTTATGTGTATTGTTAAAAATACTTTTTCGCAGCAAAGAGGATGTCTTCGGACACTTCGAAATATCTGAAGATACTTAAATTGTTTAATTTATTTACATTAGACGGAAAAGTTAAATTGTTCCGCGTCTTGTGTAAGCTTTTCCCTCGATTTAACTATTTTATCCATTATATAAATAGTTCTAAAATCATTAACTTTTTTCTAAAGTTACGTATGTGGTCCTGAAAGGCTTGAATAAGAAGTGCCGTATTGATGTAACTAACTCAGTAATTTCATACTTTTTTCAATTTAATTAATAGTAGTTTATGTAGACACAAAGGATTAATTGTACATTCATATATATTTTTTGTTTTATTATATTGCGTAGTATACAAAATGTAGCGTCCATTGTTCCGTTTAATTTGCTAATGCGGTAAATATTAAGTGCATTCGTTTTTAATGTTATCTTGCCTTCATATAACCACTGTCCATGTGACAGATTCTTACATTATTCAATAAATAAATAAACAAAAAAAATTGTGAAGCTTCAGAGATTTCTGGGACAGTACATACAAGCTTTTTATGCATGTGCTTGTGTAATATTGTTTCTTTATTGCTTGTATGGGAATGGTTACTTACAAACTTTTCTCATAAATTTTCTTAAGAATCAGTTTTAAATTGAGAAATTCTTCTTTCACAGTTAAATGGATGTTAAGGTCTGAATAATTAGAGCCATATTCATTAAAATATTCTTTTTCTTTTTTTTAATTAAAATTGTAGGGCGTTTAGCAAAAGGGACCGGTCCGCATTACTCATTTTTAGTGAACACAAAAAATAAATGGTGATGAATATGTATAAGCTTTCGAATAAATATGATTTGTTATAGTATACCTAATAAATCATTAGATATATTCATATTTTATTTGTACTACTTTTATTTAACCCGAAATATTGCTGTTATTATTTATTTATTCCTCTAGCCCTAAGTAAAAATGGTGTAATAACTCACAGTTTTATATCATATAGTAGAATTTTGCTTGTTTTAACTAATCAAACGTTTTTTATGCAAATGAAAAAATATATTAATGTTTAGTGTTGTATTTTACAAGACCGCCTAATTGTTGTAAGAACAAGACCAAGACTGGACACTGCAAACAAAAAATTACTATATGTAAAGAATTGATAGAACCAATATACTTTTACGTTCCATCCTTCAAATTTTCACTCGTGTTTTAGTCAGGTTTCGCCATTCTGAGAAGTGACAAACATTTCTATGAAGTGGTAACATTTTTTCGAAGTTTGTTAAACTTTCGGTAACTATTAAAAAATAGACTATTGCTAGATTAACAACTGATTTCAATAATTGTTCACTTACCCGTTTACATTGCTTTAGCTCATCAAATAAATCGTACTTTAATGATTTCTCTGATCCATTATCAGGAAAATTAGTGTAATTCAATTATTACTCTTATTTTACAATTATTTTTTTATTGAAGAGTATTTTTTCTAAATGCCAATCAAATGTATTTTTAATTGTAGTCCTTTTTTTAAAAGCTGTATAAGTAAATACTTAGATAGTGGATAGAATTCTTTAAAGGTAAAATCGACTTTTCGAATATTTTTACAGAAATTTGTAGGTAAATTACCTGTGGCGAAAAGAAACAATAGGCCCACTTGTCGGGTAAACTCTTCCAAATTTACCAGTACCAGTAAATTACCTACAATTATAGAGAAAGTAATTAATTCCCAAAGAGTTGATTAACTTAACACTTCAATGTTGTCAAATCATCAACTGTTCGACTGAATCGATTCGAAAGCGAAATCAAGTGATAGTCTGGTTTCACTTTAGCGTTAAAATCGTTTAAAAGGAAAACCATCGCCTGTATTTAATTTTATATGAGTTTAATATAAAATACAATTATTTGTTTTATTAATTCATAGTTCTTTTTCTTGTTTCTTTAATAAGAGCTCACAATTATAGTCATCAACTAAAATACGTTTTTGCTGCCCCTAATATCAGTGAAGTGTAGGTCTAAATGGGCTTAATTAGATAAGTATTATTGGTATATTAGTAAACTGAAATTCCTAAAAATAAAACTCGAGAGTAAACGAAACATTCCGATATGCTTACATTTTTAAAAATATTTTTAGAGTTCCTACGATCAGGATCGGATTTCCCATTTTAAACTTAAAAAAAAAAAAAAAAAGAATAGTTCAAATATGGTGAACGAAATTTTTAAAATGCTTGAAACTCTTTTTTTAAAGTTCAAATTCTGTTCCAGTTTAACCCGAAACGCAGTACGGATTTGAGTTTCAGGAGATAATAAAGCCGATATAAGTTAAACAAGGTTTTTAAATTGTTAAACGAATGTTTTCAATGTACATTCGGCTTTATCAAATATTTATTGAATCTAACTAAAATGAAATGAAACAGTCGATTAAATTTTTTTTCGGCATATTGTTTAGGACATTTTAAATTTTTCAAAGTCATAATTAAGTCATAGTTAGAGCGAAACAAATCATAACGCAGAGGAGCAAAACTTTTTTTTTCAATTCAATTTTTTATCGATTCGAAAATAGTTTTTTTTTTTTCATATTTCAGGACAAGTAATATCTGCAGCTCAAATCTTTAAAATAACGCAATAATTGAAGATACTTAAAGTGTCTTATTTTCTTCCACATACGAAGTAAATTTAAACCTCTTTTAAATTTATTATCATTGAAAATGAAGAAAAAAAATACAAGTGCCAACAGAACAAATGCAATAGGTCATTTGTAAAAAACGTTTAATCTTGAGCTATTCAACGATTAGATACAGCTGAAAAAGTTCTTCAAACTCAATTTCACTTTTGGGTATTTTTTTCTTTAGTGCTCCATTGGTTTATAAAATACGTGAATTTTTATATAATGTTCCCTAATAAGCTCAATATGCATTAAATTAAATAGCGTTCAAACTTTGGTTTGGATCCTGAAGCATATTTTTAGATTGAAGTATACGTTTGAAATAGTATTGTCCAAATGCGAGACCAAGACTCGTCTTGCCGTGGGTACTTAGTCTTGGTCTTGCACAAGAATCTTGCAGTTACCTATTACTATAATTTTTTAGATAGGAGAAACCTAACTAAGCCCCGATGAAAATTTAATAAAGTTAAAAGTATATTGGTTATACCAATTCTTTACATATAGTAAATAAAATTGTCAAGTATTTGTAACTATTTTGCCTCAAGTTTTATTTTAAAAATTTGCAAGACCAAGACCTATTTTGGTCAACACTAGTTTAAAACATCCTGAAAAGAAATCTCTTAATAAATTTAGTTTGTGGTTTAATGGATACTAAGAATTTTTTTTTTCCTTTCTCAGGAGAGTAGCTAACCCTCGAGTCATCCTGCGCTACCACCAGCCCACCGCCTTGGTGATCCGCAAGGTCCAGCACGGCCCACCTCCTGACAGGGTCATCATCAGGAAGCCGCTGGCACCGCCCGTGAAGGAGGTCCACATCCACCACCACCACGACACTCCAGGCCAGGTTCTCCACATCCACAAAGATGACGATGGAACCCTCCTGGACACGGCCAGGTTCAAGGCCAACGTTGAGGGTCAGCGACTCGTAAGCGACAGCCAATACGAGACTGCGACGACTGGTCCCTTCGCAGAGCCACCGTCCAACATCCGCCTCTCGTCCAGGCGGGTCTCGTAGTATTGACCTTTAGTTCGGGTTGAATTTATTATACCTGCTCAAGTTGTGTGTTAATTATTTATTAAGTTAGGATTGAAACATTTGCTATGAAAGCAATGTGATCATCTTTATCGGTATGATCGTGTTTTTATTTAAATAAAAAAAAATTATGATGATCCCACAACCATATTTACGATTATTAAATTCGACAACTTTTGAATCGATAAAATTTATCACTGCATTAACTTAAACTAAAATTACGAATCCATAGTCGGGGGTTGAGATCAACAATCACACTCTATGTTGGTAGATTATGAATTTATTTATATCCTACGTTCCGACCTTATTTGAAGTATTAAGTTACTAATACGCTGTCGAATGCTGGGAGGATATTGGACAGTGTAGTGACTGTAGTCTCCAGGATTGTTGGACGACAATCCTAATGAAGGTCTATAAGAATGGTCAAAACGTAAGCTATAAATAAATATTAGACCAAAACTTTTCCATAATTAGAACTATGGTCTATCATTACCGTATCATCAACTGTTTTAAAACTGCAATAATGATGTACTTATTTTAGTGCGATTAAAACTGGTTAATAAATATAAATTATTAGATATTTCTTAGATTATACTGGTAATTTACAAAGCTGTAAGACATTTCCAATATATTTAATAAATTTCTTGAACAGTAACTTGAGAAAGTTTACAAAAAATACACAGAATAGATTTTTTTTTTATAATCCGTTTAATAATAACTCAATATGCCACACGCAAGAGAAATAATAATTAGAACTAAAGGTTCATATGATATATACAAATAAGGAAAATAAATGAGATTATTTATTTAAGAACAAATAAAAAATAAATAAAGTAAAAATGAACAAAGAAATATAATATATATTCAAATATAATAGATAGCTTTATTAAAAATAAATTTTACATTTTCCTGCAAAATAAAAATATGAATTCATTAGAATGCTACAAAATCTTTTTTCAAGAATTTCCTCTAAGATATATATTATAAAAAAACATAAAGACCAAAAAAAATAAAGACTTTACTTTGATAATATACGTAGCAAAAGATTATTTATGGGTCTCTAAAATCTACTAACTTTGTATTTATAAGATCAGTAATATTTTAATAAACTGTTCTGATATTTGTCATTAAGCAAATCAATCCAGCTCATTAAGTTTTACTTGACTCAATAAAAATGTATTATTTACTTATAAATAAAAAAAAATTAAGTTATAAGTCTTTAATTCTATTTAAAAAATATGAAATTACATATTAACAATTAAATTACACTACCCTTGTTGTTCACTTCTCGTTATGATATTGTAATGATACATTACTTTTCTTAGTAATTTAAATATAGCACTAAGGAAATTAATTTTATTTAAATACATTTTGCCCAAGTCGGAATTAAAGTACTTCAAAAAACCGTGATAATTAACTTATTTCTATCACTTATACTTCATAATTAATTTTTGATTTAGTTAAAATACGTATCATTTTTTAAAATTTAAAATATCGATTATATGATTTCATTTGAGATAATTGTTTGATCGATGACAACAAAGACAAGTCTTACAGCATTTGAAAATCTAATGATAGTTCAGAAATTTGATAAAAATTATTATTTTAAAATCATAACTGAAGTAAATAAATTTTTAAAAAAATTATTCGGAATTTTTTCTATGGGATCACGAATCAATGTGTTTGTAATTACGGAAGAATAAAAGTATCTTTCGTTCAATGAGTTGTATATACCATTTTAGTAATCATGTGATAATCATGATTGGAGATGAGAAATTTTCATGTCATTCCATATATTGTATTTTCTGTTTAAATACTTTGAGTAGTAAATTATTTCTTCCTTGATTTATTTAGTTGTATTTTGTTGTTTTTGTTGATATTTAAAATAAATAATTTTTAGATTGTTTCGTTATTTATTTAATTTGACCCTTTCCTTTATATTTTTAGTTTGATTAGTATTACAGAAAATTCAATAAACAAAGTCTTAGATTTAGAGATCACAGGAGAACTGTATACTTGAATTTTCCTCCTTTATTTGAAAAATATTGATTTTTTTTCCCATTTATTTATATTGCTTCTTCCTGCGTCACTTAAGCTCTAGGGTCTGGCGAGAATTGGAGCGTGGAAAACCGAGTTGAGCTCCAGGAAATCCAGAATCATCTCTGTGGTCGATAGTGAAGAAACTCTTCCGCGATCCAGGAGGCGGTCACGGGTGTTAAGCTCCAATTGTTGTAGTCATAGTAGTCCTGGCAACTATAGTGATAACTAATTTCTATATTTTATCCAAAATTAAAATGTTTGCTTATTATCATACCTAAATAAGTTTCCCGTAAATAAAAGGGAATAGTTAAAGCCTTAATAGTATAAAAACTCCAAGAAGTATAAAAAAGTATTCATGATAAATACATTACATACATGTACATTACATAAATACATAAGTACATCGTAAGTATTCATGATAAAAGCATAATGGATGAAAAGAAATTGGTGAGGAAGGTGATGTAAAACCAAGGGGATTAGCAACCAATTCGTGGCCTTGGTTTGGGAAGGTTCTAACAATAAAATTTGGGCACATTGAGTTTACTGTGTGAGAACCCGCTATTCAACTTTACTTTGGGATGGCCCTAGTCTAGTTATTATTATTATAATAATCAATCAATTTGAAATTATAATTATCGAAATATCGCTATTTTCATTTACTACGCACTACATATGAAGCAGGCATGATGGGTATATTTTTTTCTATCGATCAAATTCGTATATAATTTCTAGCGCTTTCCAAAAACGAGTTTTCATTATTTTTATTTTTATTTAATGCATGTAGTTTATTCCTTTGTTGAGAAATATTACATTGTGTACATCTGTGGACACTAGTAATAGATTTATTTATTTATTTTTTATATTGAAATATTAAAATATCGAAGGGATATGATATCGATAGTGGATAATATCGAAGTAGATTCTATTAATGCTAAAATAGAATTCACATTCACAAAATAGTCACATTCAGTTCTTCCGTTAAAAACCTAGGAATCACCATAGACGAAAACCTCTCCTGGAAACCCCATATTGCCCTCATCTCCCGTAAGTCAATAGGTACCCTTAAGCTATTTCATCGCTCCCGCCACCTACTCCCACAACCTATCCGCAAGCTCCTTGTATCCTCTCTCATTTTCCCCCACTTTGACTACGGCTGTGTGGTGTACGGAGGCATCCCGATGGTACTCGAGGATAGATTGAAGCGACTCATGAATACGTGCTTAAGATTTGTCTTCGGTACATCAAAGCGATATCATGTGTCCCACCTTTACGACGAGTTAAAGTGACTCTTCCCTTCTTTCCGCAGACAATATTTCCTCGGAACTTTCCTATTCCAAACAATCAACACTAGACACCCTTCTTATATCTACAGTCTCCTACAGTTTAAACCCGTGGTCCACTCCCAGAAAACAAAATCCCGTGTTTCCGACCTTTATATCCCTTCCCATAGAACTAAGAAGTTTGAATATTCCTTTATTTCCCGATCCACAGCCTTCTGGAATTCCTTGCCATCTGAAATCCGTCATGCCTCTTCCTTGTCCTCATTTAAATATCATCTTTACCAATTCCTTCTCACATCCCAAAATGACGTTATACAATTAAATAAATATTGTGAAACAGATTTTGACTGAGGTGAATGATTGATAAAATTTATTGTCTTAATTTTAAAAATCAACCCATGCTTATTTTATTTTATTTTTATCTTCATTTAAATAATGTTGTTGTTTTTTATTTCGTTTTTTCTAAAAATTTTATTTCATTTTTACTTGTTTTAATTCAATTTCACTGAAGATACTGTATATATTCTTTAGTATTGATTAATGTAATTTTTGGCCAGATGTAGTTTTAATTTTTTTGTTCATATCTGTTATTCATAAGGGACCTTGTCCCAGAATAAAGTTTATTTTCTAAAAAAAAAAAAAAAAAAAAAATATCGAATATCTGAAGGAAAATATCGATATATCGATTAAGTACATTTTGTCTTTGTCCAATCCTACTTACGAGATAACCTTTCTTGATAACAATGCTGATGAAGGCCTGAAATTTCGACCAAAACGTTAAAATAAATAAAAATAAATATAATTTATTTATTTTTGCTTTGTTCGTTATTTGACTAAACACCCGAACCAACTCTACTCTAATATAAAAAATCTATATAGTCTAAGAAATTAAATGTCTGATTTATTGTGTTGAAATCGACTGATTGAAGTATTTTTGCATATGGCTTAAAATACCTCAAAAACTAAAACTCGGACCCGCACATTATTAGCAAGAAAATGTTCATAATTTCATCCTTTTAGTGATGAGCTATGAATCAAAATTGTAAATATTTACGTGACACCGTGTTGGGAAGGCGAAAACGTTAAAATAGTGTCGAAAGCCAAATGATAAAAAATAAGTTTTATTGAAGATATGGATTAAGATACCTCAGAAACTAAAAATCGTCATCTTCTTTATAAGGTGCTATTATTAATAATTTGTATTTCATATTATTAATCTCGCTTTGTTGATGATTTTACTTCTACAGTGTGGTCTAAAGCACACACCTTAGTTTTTTTATTTATTTTTTTTATTTATTCGTGAGATATACAAATGTATAAATTTAAAAATACATCCAGTAAATGTGCACACGGTAATTACATATAATACAATCACATGAAAACGCTTGTTGAGAAACTACCCATTCGTAGCACTCCAATAATAAATGTTTCTATAAGTAGATCACGAGGCCATCTTATTTTCAGACGTCTTGGAAGGTATCGAAAAGGAAGCAAGGTTTGAAACGAGAGGGTTCGGATGGTTTTGAAGTTTGCAATGAAAGGATAGGTATCTGGATTGGGCTAAATCGGAAACATATCGTACGTTAAGGTCGTTATGAATGATTTTATTTGTGACAAAGTAAGGAGCATTGAAGATTTTACGAAGGATTTTGTTGGATTATAAGGTATAGATACGAGAAGAATTCCATGGTTTAGTGAAGCCCCAAAG